TGTGTGTGTGGTGTGTGTGTGTGTGTGTCTGTGTGTGTGTCTGTGTGTGCGCGCGCGCGCGCGCGTACCCAGAGACTTTATTCCAAATGCAGTCTTTGTCTCTCTCCTGAGGCCAACCAGAGGTCAGCCCTGGGGAAGGGGAGAGAGTGCCATAACACTGGTAGAAGAGGCTGGGAATTTGGTGCCCTGGTTCTGAGGCATATCCTCAGGGAAGGGGTGACTTCCCTGTTCTGGGATCACAGGGCTCTTTCTACTTGCTAGAAAGTTGGAGCCTGGCCACAGGGCCGCATCATTTGGAAGGGACAAAATCATGGGGGAAGGGACACATCCCAAATTTTTAGCCTGACCCAGGCTGTCTCCTGCACATAGGGAGTTACCTTATTTGGAGGCAGAAGCTCTGTGCTGCAGTGTTTCCAAGGCATCACCATGGAAACAAGGCGTAACCCTAACCACTGTTATTCAGCCAGGACTTTTCCCCCTCAAACCAGGCAGCTTGAGGGACTTGAGCATTAACTACTGCTCCCTAGCAGAAGGCACTACTTTCAGTTTCCCGGAAACTGATTGCATGTTTTCATTTCTTTAATTACATGTTTTAATGACTTCTAGTTAGGGGCACTGCTCTCCAAGGAAGGCTGATTTGGGTACCCTATGGGCATCCTTAGCAAGGATGAAATGCAGGATGGATGCTGGTCAATGAAGGGCAAACCTGGGCTGTACCCTACTGGATGGAGAAACTGTCCTAAAGATGTGGGGATTGAGGCCAGCAGTGTCTGCCTCTCTCATTTCTTCAGCCCAGGAAGCCAGAGTAGCCAGCAAGGACTGTCTGGCCCAGGGCTGTCTCTCTTTGCTTCCACAGGACTCTGGCTTTGTGATGCCCAGAAGACCTATCTTGCTCATTCACAGGACTAGCTTGATTTATCCAAAATAGGTCAAAACCCTGGTAAGGGCAACATTTGGTACAGAGAGGAAAAATGGAACACTAAGTACCTATAACCAACCACCCTAGCAAAGGGCTCTTGCTGGAAATTCAGAATGTTGATTTCACCCTTCCAGAGCCCAAGGGTGTGGTGAACACAGCAAGAATGGGGGCAGAGCCCTTCAGCCCCTTCATGAGCTCAGAATACTGACTAGGAGGAGGAAGGGAATGAGAGAGGGGCAGTGGCAGGGAGGGAAGGACTGGGCCTGGTGAGGCTGCCCCAGCCACTACCTGGCCCTGGCCATATGAGTCAAAGCAGGACCCTCTGGAGCTCACCTTCCCTGTTGCTTAGTCTGCAGGGCCACTTCTTTCCTTTAGCTGTGGCAGAAAAGTAGACCGACTCTGCCCTTCCCAGAGGCTGACAGGATGTGCAGGGGAAGAGACACATGCTAAACTGCTATTGCTCAGCATTTGCCTGCTGGCCTAAACCTTCCTGAGGACAGCCCAGGGCCTTCTAGCAGGCTATTCTGCTCAGTGATTGAGGAGGAGGGAGGAGGCATGCAAGCTGTGGCCACCTCAGTCCCAGCCAGGTGTTTACCCTCCCTCTTGCCCTCACTTCTTCCCAGGCCCAGCTCCACTAGAGGATATGACAACCAGCCTACCTGTGGGGTGGGTGGCTCTACTTTCCGTTTCTTCTTCTGGTTCTGCTTGTTGGTTCTGGGATACACCATGAGCATCTCTAGCCACCTGGGAAGAGGGCAGGAGAAATAGCACCAGGTAAATCCCTGGCTTTCAGGATCCATGACTCCAGGCCTTCCTGGGATGGTAGAGACCTCAAGCCCTTAGGTGCCCTTTCTGGAGAGACCTATCCAGTGCTCAGACACTGAGCAAGTTACCCCAGACCAGAGTGCAGCAGCTGGGTGAGACTGTAGCATATAGCAAGCCAGGAAAAGCACAGGCTGTATCAGGACTAGCCCATGACCCTTCCATGGCCACCATGGGCTCAGTTCTCTATTCTGATAAAGAGGAAGGGTTCACCAAATGCATTACAGAATGGAGGGACATCATTGTTCCATTACTGACCCTATTCTCAGGACCTAGTCTCAGCTTTAAAATGTCCTTTCAGATTTGGAATGGGCAAGTGCAGTCAGGCAATGAATGATTGGCAGGCATTTAGGGCTGCTGGGGCAGATACTGGCCTAAAAAAGAAAACTGGGAGTTACATCAGCAAAGTTCTCATGGTGGGTCACCTCAGGAGTGAGAGGCTAATCAATCAGACCACTTCTTACACAGGAAACATGCCAGGCAGCCCAGGTTTGGACAAGGCCACACAGTTACCAAAGATCCTTCACCAGAGTCTGCATGTTAGAAAGCCATTTTGGGCCAGCAACAGAAAACATGGAGAGGAGTTGTAGGCAAAAGGTTAGGACCCCAGATCTGGTACTGCCACTATCTAACCAGAGCCTTGGGTGCTCCTAGCCCCTTGGAGCACATCTCATTTCTGAGACCAGTGGCTAGATGAGGGCATGCCCAGAATTTCAGGGGTCCCACTGACAGCTGGTCTCAGCTATGATTAAGTGGGGCACAGCAGCTAAGCTTTCTCTCTAGACAAGCAATAACCGCAGGAACCACAAGCGAGACTGCTCTAAACTTCACAAAGCACAAGGGCCCATGTTGGGTCTGGGCCTAAAATACTGATAGTGGTGACCACACTCCTATATCTATCAGTACCCCTGGAACAAGAGAAGGGCTCCTTGAGGTGCTTCTATAATTTGAGTTTGCTGCAGGAAAGGAAGAGAAGCATCCCATTGCTTTTTGGAGCTGTTTGGGGAGCTGGTATCTAGGGAAGCCAAGTTTTGTACAGGGAACTACAGTTGCTAAACAAAGGACTGCTTAGCTCAGCTCAACACATGCTCAGGGATGCACAAGTTTCTAAGAGCACAAACAAAGGCCTACTCTCTCAGAGCCATAGGGGTCCTATAGGTCACTTCACCATGGCCCCAAAGAAAGGAAGCAGTTACATATGGAAGGCTAGCAGATGGGCAGGCTTCTCAGTGAATGGAGCCCCTATCCTTTCTTCCAGGAAGATTGAATCTTGGAACCACTCCATGTCAGCTGATATTTCTTCATCTGTGCTTGAAGGGAGTGACTCCTACAACTTTGCTAGAATCCTAGGTCAAGATTACCTCCCCACCAGGGCCCCAGGTATGTGGGGCACAGGGCAGGAGTTGTAGAACCTCCAGCGTGCTCAAAACCTCCTACGTTCTATCCATTGTCAACACCAAGGAGCCTTGGTAGGGTGGAGTCATCAAGATGAACTGGGTTGCTCAGCTACCTAGGGACTTGGGAAGTGTTGAAGGAAGGGAAAGTCTGCGACTTTTGGTCATTACTCCTCTTGCTGCGGCCAAGATCAGAGTTGTCAGGGCTGAGGCATAATAGAACAGGTCTACATTCCTATCTCTTCATTCTTCCTCCCACTTAAAACAGCAAACCAAGGTCTTGCTATGTAGCCAAGACTGTTGGGCTGTCCTGGAACTCCTGACCTGCTGGAATTCCAGGTGTTTGCTGCCATACTCAGCTACAAGTGACTTTGTCAAGGAAGCCCAGTGGGATGTACGCAACATATTCAGATGCATTAGAAATGTTAAGAACAACAATCCAGTAAAGAGATAGGGATCGCTTAGTGGACATGAGGTTGGTGGGAACCAAGTTTCTCCAACTCCAGAAGGCAGAGTTAGGTTAGTGAGAATGAAGAGAGTGGGCAGAGCTGATGGCAGGGTGGGGAGAAAAGAATCCTAGCCTCTGGGTGAGCCAGAGAGCAAAAAAGGAGCCCTAACCAATCCTCTGCCAAAGTTGTGTCAATATGGTCCCAGTAGCCTGGAAGTCACTCACAGCATGAGGAAACTGGAGAATGAACCAACCACTTCCTTCAGCCAACCTGAGAGGAAAGGCAGGAAGGAAAGCTAGGTGGGTGGTAGATGTCCCTGCTCTTTCCCATCTAGTTTGGTGAAAGTATTTTCTCTTTAGGGACTGTTTTTATGTGACCAGAGCATGTACAGGCCAATGGGGTCTGGATTACACAAATGAAGAGTCATGATAGCCTTGGAGAGGGCATTGAGATTAGAGGAGACAGAGAAAGTGAGGGTAAAGCACCTGTTCTTGAAACATCTGTGCCATGCCTGACTTCTGTGAGTACACAAGATCCCAGCATGTGGGCAAGGCTAAAGAAGCTGCTTGGGTCAGAAAAGGGGTTTCAGGAATGAGGGGAGAGAAAGAGCTTCAGGTGGCCTGCTGTAACTACGGCCATGCAATTGACCTTCCACATAAGCCATGAATCCCGGAGTACTAGCCTACATACAGGATTTTGAAGCCACATGCCACTGGTACCTTTGTCAGTTAATGGTCACCATGTCTGCCTAGCAGGCCCCCATGGTACATGCTGACAGAAGAGACAATAGAGGAGTAGACAAGGAAGAGTGGCTTAGAGTGGAGCCAGGACCTCAAGGCAGCTGTCAGAGGGACTAGTCTCAGTCAGATGCTAAACTTCATCTCTCTGAACTACATGGCATCAGTGACCCAGCTCCAAATACTCCCAGCTTGTCCTAAGGACCTCAGACTCCCTTTTCAGGCCCAAATGCCACTCAGGCCTTCCCTACATTCAAGTCTGGGAGGGTGAGGTTCCCTAGGAAGACTCATTTGGGGCAGGAGTGTTGGGTCAGGCCAGGTAGTACCAGGAGCAGTCAAGAGTACAGAAGGTCGCTCACACCTGACTGTCTCCTGCTCCTGACCCTCAGATTTCTTGTTATAGCACACGGGTTCCTTAGATCTGATGGGTTAAACTCAGGAAGACACACAAAGCACTCCTCCACACGGTCCCCAGAAGCTTGGGAAGGACAATTCTTAGTCACCCAGCAGAGGCTATCCCTGGCTGGCTTCCTCAACAGCCTCTCTAGAGATACAACTGATGCTAAAGGAAGGCAATGTTCCCAATGGCCTTATACTTGCTCAAACCAGGGGGCTTAATTTCCTCACTTCCCTCTACTCTGTGCTAGAGCCTGTTCCCCTCGACCCTAGATTGATTTCTTTCAAAGACTTTACACTCCTGTCTTCTTCCATCCTTATAGGATGAATGGGGGTTCATCACTGAGGAAATACATGCATGTAGATCATCTGGAGTTTTCAGTGCTACATAGGACATGTTTCTCAAAAGGGCTGCCACACAGGCTGACTGATACACAGCCTGGAACTAAAGGGCTTATTCTGTCTGAGGGGATGGCATGAGCAGCAGCACTATGTAGCTGAGTACCACAGACACACAGGGTAAGGACAGGCAAGTGTGTGGTGGCAGCACCAACCAGTGAAGAATTCTGAGAAAGACCTAGCAGTCCTGGAGTCCATAGAAATGGGTGGACAGCACAGATGGTGCTGTCTGTGGCTCAGAACAACTTACCCACTGATGATCTCCTTGGTCTCTGCCCTGATAAAATGTTCCTTGTCAGGCGTCAGAATGCAGAGGGAGAACTTCTGCCCTGTGCGGGCCTCCCCATCTACCACATCTGTGCACTGGTTCATGTTGATGGTGCCCTGAGGGAGAGTGGTGGGCTGCAAAGTACAAAACAAATCACTCAAAAGAGGTGGTGTCAGGTCCCATGGCCACCAACAGTACCCAGACCTCTCCTTCAGTCCTTGGCCCTCAAAGCACCACTTGCTACCCACCCATTCATGGTGGGGCAGGCCAAGCTGGATATTTTTAGAGAACATCCAGCTGGATTTCACCTTCTACTTGGAGAACAGTGTTCTGACTTTCACTGGAGAAGGGGGCAGGACAATGAGAGAACAGCTCAGTGAGGACTGCTAGCGAGAATAAGCAGCCAAGTCCTAGTCTCAGATCCATGAGGAAAAGCTTCTGAGAAAGCAGATTCAATAGCAAGGTCGTTTTTTTGTTTTTTTAAGATATAAGAAGGCAGATAGGGTAGATCACATCCCTGAGCACCAGCTCTGAGGCTGGGAGATAGACTCAAAATCTCACTCACAATTGCCAGGGCTTTAAGGAGTCCTGCAGAGCCTTCTTGGAGGGCTAGAGTCAACATACATGTACACACAGATGCATACATGCACAGTTAAGACATCAAAATTAAGAACAAAAAGGAAGGCTTTGGGAGATTCCCATTGAAGTGAAGGGCTGGATGACTGTTAACCTCACAATGCCCCCCAAACACAGATACTCTAGGAAGGCAGACAGGGTGCTATGTATCCTATAATACCAGTTTTTTTGTTTGTTTGTTTTTTACATTGCCATTTCCTATAGGGAAACACTGTCGGTCTGCTCCAGAAGCCACAGGTGGGTAGGCTTTGGGGCAGATAGCAACTTCTTATCCAATTACCCAAGGCCTATTACCTGATGGGCTTCCTTTCTTAGCACTAAGTGTTTAGAGAAGAAGTCAGATATTTGTGGTTGTCCTGCCTCCCTCTGTAGCTCTATGGGTCCATTTTTAACAAAATCCTGATGGCTGAAGCTGAAGGCAGAGCCTTGT